TGTGTCATTTGCGATGTGGGTCTTATTACAATCCTTAATACATGTCATGCACCTTGTGTTGTCCTCAGTCTCTGCAACATGGCACGCGTTTGTGGATTGTAACATGGGCCATGTTACAAAGCCCGACTTAGCTTCCAAGGGAACAAACATCGCGTGCGCGAGGCGGCGGATGGCCCAATGGAAATTAGTCGATCGAGCGCTAGTCTTTTCCTATTATTACGGTGGTTGTCCGGCATCTAGCAATTTGGGTTAGCATTTTATCTTGTCCGCAACTAGATAGGAAGACGTCTCACCTCCTCAGTGAGGCACCATGCATCGCTGCTATTGGGTCGGCCTAGTAGCTTTGTTTTCTTTTTCTTTCTTATTTGCTTCTCGTTCATTCATTTTTTGTTTCCTTTTTGTTTTCAAACTTTTAGTTATAATTTTTTAATATCTCAAAACTTAATTTAATTAAAGTACTTAAAAACGTTAACGCAGTGTAAAAAAATTTGTGCCATTTTTAAAAATGTTTTACCATTCAAAAAATGTTCACCCCATTCAAAAAAATTAATGTTTTTTGAAAAAATATTTATACAGGGGGAAAATATTCACCTAGTTTTCCAAACAATGTATTATTAAAATAGTTGTCCATGACATTTAAAAAAATTTCAAACATTTCAAAATATGTTATTAATATTTTTTAAAAATGATTTACAATGTAAAGTAAATGTTTGTGTCACTTCAAAAATGTTCCATACCATTCAAAAAATGTTCTACGTTTATTTGATAAATACTTAACATGTATTACGAAAATGTTCAAAATGTATTCAAAATTTTGTCATGTATTTAAAAAATGTTCACATCTACACAGAAAATGTACAAGATGTATAAAAAGCAGGCATCTATTTAAAAAAAGGGAAATAACAAGAAAATACAAAAAAAGGAAAAAATAAAACCAAAGAACAGGTAACGAAACAAAAAAAATGGCATGGAAGGTTCTAAAACCGTCCTTAGATTTATGAAATAGTGTAATGAAAATAAGAAGTGCTTCAAGTCATTGCTATTTGACTTGGACCTTCTGAAAAAGTCAAGGTAAGGACAAACTAATGATAAACCTCTGAAAGAGTTTCCATATTGACCTTGGACACATAAGAGTTTAGGATACATGGCATGTGTTGCGATTGCAACATGGGCCATGTGACAAAGCCCGGCTGAGCTCCCATAGGGACATGTGTCATGCAATCGAGGCGGCGGATGGCACAATGGAAATCATTCGGTTAAGCGCTAACCTTTCCTATTATTATGGCGGTTGTCAGGCGTCCGGTAAATTAGGGCAGCACTATCTTGCCTGCAACGAGACAGGAGGAGGTCTCGCATCAGTGAGGCACCTCGCATCGTTGTGTATTGGGCTGAATCAATAGCTTTTTTTTTTCTTCTTTGCTACTCATTCCTTCTTTTTTTTTCTTTATTTTTTTTATATTTTTTGCTAGAATTCAACCCAACTATATGGAAGTGATAACGAACAAAAACCTGGACAACCAAAACATCTTCTCCTGTTGAACGAACACCATCCAAAAACCTGGACTAAATACCAAAAATATACAAAACACATATGTGAAATCTAGGACTCAAACCCAGCGGGCTGGTTCCACCACAAAGAACATAACCAACTAAGCAAACTTCACACTTCTTAAAAAAATACAATTTACTCGTAAAAGCTTGTGTTGTGATAAAGGACGTTTTATTGACTCTTAACGTTGCATCAAGGATATACAAGCACAATATGTTCACACACATGTCTTTTGCATAGTTAGCATGCACACACTTGACTCATTTATCTTTCTGGATACCTCCAACCCATAATTTTGTCACACATCAAACCTTGACCAATCTATTTCTACTTTGTTCCTTGCACACCAGAGTAGCATCATATCAAATTAAATTCATCCAAAGCTTCAAGCCATGCATGATTAACATTCTAGACATTTTTTTTTGTTTTTGAAGACCAATAACAGGATTTTTTGCATCTCCACCCACCATTGCCGCCATATGCCACTATAAAAGGTCCAAGTAGTTTGAGATGTAGACCAATTCGTAGCTATTTTATTTCGCTAGAGTGGGTGGGCTTCGAGACATTTCTACTATTCTTGTACTTTTGGATCGATTTTTATCACATACTCACTTGGGCTTTTAGTTTTGTTGAGCATGGGTGCCTTGTTTGTGGTGTACCTCGCTTTTGTTCAATTTTCGTGAGTTCTGGAAAGGCTACCATTTCGGTGAGCTCATCTGAGATGCGAGACAAACAATCAGACTTGATTACAATTTGCAAATAGGAATTGGAGGCATCTAGAAAGATTCACAACTCTAATCAACTTCGACCGTTTCTCTCGCATCTTAGATGAGCTCACCGAAATGGTAGCCTTTCCATAACTCACGAAAACTGAACAAAAGTGAGGTACACCACAAAGAAGGTAGGCAAGCTCAACAAAACTAAAACCCCGAGTGAGTATGTGATACAATCAATTCGAAACTACAAAACCAATAGGAATGCCTTGGCAGCCCACCCTACTCTCGCAAATCGAAATATCCATGAACTAGTCTAAATCTCAAACCCCTTGGACCTTTATAGTGGCATATGGTGGTGGTGGTGGTTCGAGAGGGGTAATACTTTCGTTGTTGTTCTTGTAAATGAACACACGTGCGTGCCTTGCTTGTGAAGAGGGACACAAGCCCCATTTAAAGGTTAGGAGCAATGGGAAATAAATCCTTGAGTCGTCACCAATTGGTTGGGATTTGGTTTTGTTGGCATCAGTAGTTTATGTTGTCCCAATTTCTGTATTGTTTGTTTCTTCAACCCTAGCCGCCGCAGACTCATCTCTCATTCATCAACAATGCATCCAAGACCATTTCCATTCCTGCTCCATCCACCACTATAGAAAAGAGGGACAAGATCAAGGGAAGACGATGAGGCTCCACCACCACGTGCATCGGCCCCATCTCCACCATGTAGGCACCTCCACCAGCGCCGCCCTCATCATCACCACCGTCGGTGCCACCACCATCATATCATCAGCGCCGCCATCTCCACCAACACCGCCATGCCTTCTACCTTCACCGCTTCGATGACGCTTGTAACTTAACCCTCTCCTCTATGTATATGTATTGAACGCATATATAGAGACCTGGAGGCCCAGGAAGAAGTCCATGTCACAACAGTGTGTCCTACAAAGAAGATCACCAGCATCTCAACACACTACATCGCAAATTGAGCATAAAACCACTTATTAATCCACAAGCTCCCCTGCTAGGATTTTAGCTTCTTTTACCCATCAAATACCATCGTAATTTGCTTGGAGGTAAAAGATTCTGACTATGGAAATAAGTAGACCTATTAGCCACATCAAGGCCCTGGATGTGGGTAAGCTGAGTGTCTTCGTCAACGTCATCGGTGCGAGATTCATCGATTGGATCCATGTATCGCCCCCACATCCACTCTCTGGACTATGCATACATGTGTAAACATGCCTGTGGATTTTTGGTACATTCCCAATCCCCCTTTAGTGTTAGCAATTCGACGGTTTTTGTTGTTCGATGAAAACACAATGTCATTTCCTCGGCTAATCTGGTAGTACAGTAGCGTAAAAGGCAACAATTTTGGGAAAAGGATAAACAAAATAAGAGTATTTTGTTGTTACCAAATAGCACATTACATTAGTAGGAAATACAAAATGTACATGTATTTTTGCGAAAAAGGTTTTGAAGCTTATTGTGCTTTCTAGAAACTTCAAATTCAACCAAAAATCCAGAACCATTCTAATGAGTAGTAGCATATAGGTAGACTAGGATGGAATTTGGGTCGTCCATTCTCCGGTGCCTCCCGTATATATACATCCCGGGCAATTTCTTCCCCTTAGTTTTCTTCATTTCATTTCCCAAATCAAAGTCGACCATTAGGGGTTAACAACTACATTGTGTTAGTGTTGTAACTAACAAAGTTGCTTGTGAATCTTTCTGGATGCCTCCAATTCCTAGTTTCCAATTATAATTAGCTTGATCGACTCGATACAAAACTACGAGACAAGTAGAAATGCATAGGCAGCCCACCCCGCTCTAGCAAATCAAAATAGCTATGAATTGGTCTAAATTGCAAACTCCATCGACACCTTTATAGTGGCATATGGTGGTGGTGGTGGGAGAGGTGTAGTACTTTGGTTGTTGTGCTTGTAAATGAACACATGTGTGTGCCTTGCTAGTGAAGAGGGACGGCGCCAATGAATGGCTAGGAGCAATGGAAATGAAATCGATTGGCTGGGATTTGTGTTTGTTGGCATCCGTAGTTTATGTAGTTTGTGCATCGTTGGCATGGATAGAATAGCAGCATTTGAAATCTCGTTGTCACGAGTCTCTTTGTCAGCACCCATCAGCGCGAGAGTATCCGGCGAGATCCATCGTCTCGCCCACATCTCCATGCTCTGTATTATGCATACATATCCCCTCCGGTGGTAGCAAAAAGGTAGCAATAATACATCAGCATGAAGCACACAAAAGAAACCAAAAATTGTTATGAAAAAGGTGTTGAAGGCTCACAAGGTCTCTAGAAACTTGAAATCCAACCAAAAATCGAGAAAAAGAATAGTAGGTAGGTTTGGTAGAGCAGGATGGAATCTGGGCCGTCCATTGTGGGCACGCGTCCTATATAAGCATCCCGGACAGGTTTTCTCCGCTCCATTCCATTCCCCAAATCGAAACCCAAATCCAAATCGAATCGAATCGAGGAACAATTTGCGAAACGGAACTGCCAACTCTTCCTTCCCCTCGATTCGCTCGCTCGCCAATCCCACCCACCGCCGCCGCCGCCGGTCGAACTCCGGCGACGAAGCTCGCTCGCTCACTAGCTAGGGTTAGGGTTAGGATTGGGCCGCCGCGAGTTGTTCCTGCTTGCTTGATTAATCTCCGGTCCGGTCCGATCCGATCCACCGCCGATTCGGTCGATTTGAAACCCTAGAAATCCTCCCAAGGTGATGGATCCCAGCCAGATGATGCCCCGTAGCTTCCCCATGTGGCCGCCGCCGCCCCCGCCCGCCGCCTCCGACGCCATGCCTCCCCCGCCGCTGCCGCTGCCCCAGCCCTTCCTCGCCCCGCCCCAGCCCAACCGCGGCTGGAAGCGCAAGAACAACCCCAACAACAACCCCAACCTCGCCGGCGGCGGCGCCTACCAGCCCCCCGCCATCGGCGACCTGCAGGTGCAGAACCGCGCCAAGGCCCGCCGCTGGTTCAACAACCCCAACAACGCCGGCGGCGGCGGCAACCCCAACAACGCCGGCGGCCGCAAGTACTTCTTCCCCAAGTCCAACAAGGGGGGCAACAAGGCCAAGGCGCCGCGCAACACCACCTCCTTCATCATCCGGGCCAAGCGGGCGGGGGGCATCGCCTCGCTCGTCTCCCCCTGCCCCGTCACCCCCGCCGTGCTCCCCACCCCGCGCATCTCCCCCTCCCGCGAGGGCCTCTCCGACATGGCCCAGCAGCAGTGGGGCGTGGACGGATACGGCTCCATGAAGGGCCTCATCCGCCTCCGAGCCTCCTCCCCACGCCACCCCGACGCCGAAGGGGATGACGACGACTCCAGCAGCGGCAGCGACGTCGAGGAGCACGTCGAGGTCGAGCGCCGCCTCGACCACGACCTCAGCCGCTTCGAGATGGTCTACCCCGGCGGGATGGCCAACGGAGCCGCCGGCTACGTCTTGGAGGACCTCGACGATGAGTACGACCAGGACGTGCACGTCGCCAGGCTCGAGGAGGAGAACCTGACTCTCAAGGAGAGGCTCTTTCTCATGGAGCAGGAGGTCGGTGACATGAGGCGCCGTCTCGAGGCCATCGAGGCGCGCTTTGCAGGGGCCGACGGGGTTGCTGCTGCTGGCAGCGCCGACAATGCTGCTCTTGTCCTCCAGCAGAGGGCTGATGCTGATGCTGAGAATGGCGTTGATGCCGCGCCTGTTGCAGGCGATGCTGTAATTGTTTCTCTGGAAGATGCTAATGCTAATGCTTCTGGTGCTGAAAATGCTAATCTACTTGAGAAAGCGAAGGGTGATGCTGCCTCTGCTTCTGATGACACTGTTGAGGATGCTCTGAAGATTGACACTGAGATGGATGTTGCTGCCTCTGCTTCTGCTAACGCAGTTGAATTTGCTCTGAAGAATGACACTGAGATGGGTGTTGCTGCCTCTGCTTCTGCCAACGCAGTTGAGTTTGCTCTGAAGAATGATACTGAGATGGGTGATGCTGGCAACTTGGTTGAGGAGGCTCTGGAGAATGTCACGGCGATGGCTGATGCCGTTTCTGGTGCTGATAATGCAGTCAAGGAGTCTGACATGAACAGGGGTGATGTAGAGCAGGAGAAAAGTGGTGAGGACATGGCCGGTGCAGGTTCAGAGAAGAATGCAGAGATGGCTGATACTACTGGAAGTGGAGAGGAAGAGGGCAAGGAGCAGGCCTGATGCTCCAGCTAGAAAACGGTGAACAGAGCAAGCAGGCCTCTGATGACGAGGGCTCCTGCTTGGAGATGGAAGATGGACAGTGGAAAAATGCACAAGGGTTTCCTTCCCTGGTTGTTTGTTACTGTACATACTTGCAGATGAAGCCATGCGGCGTGTTTCGGTCTTGGGGACTGAAACGTCGCGTGACCGAGGCGGTGGTTTGTCGGCGTCGGTGATGTTATATGTTTGTTGCCATTTTGAGTTCTCTATATTCGGAACCTGTAGTGTTTTAGCGGACTAGCTAAGCTGCTGCTCAAGGTGGTAGTAAGATACTCCTATGGATTTGTCGTTACTGTTAAGATGATGTTGTCAAGATGATGACTCTGTTATTGCTGTATCCATCCATACCGTGCTATCATGTTTATTAATTTGGTCTCGCATTATCGTGGTTATTTTGATTATTTTTTTGTGGTTTGCAATTTGAATTTACTCTGATGTGAATTGGGATAAGTTCGTATACTTCATCTGGTCTAGCTGGTGTTCCCTTTTCCCCTTCATACCCGTGAGTTTCAGGTAGCACATGATCCGGATTGCTCTATATGTCATCCTAGATTTTTATTTTTCTCTTGACTTTGTCTTATTTCCCCCAGAGCACAAATGTTCCATTTTGCATGAAAAAACGCCAAAATCCAGTTTTCAAATTTGTTTTCTGTTTGTTTTGTGTTTTTTAAATAAATCAGTTTCAAATTTGTTTTCGGTTTTTTGTTTGCGCCAAAAGCATATGCTCCTGGGAGCCGAAACGCCGCTCCCTCGATGGTCTTCTTTTCTTTCCATTTTTATGGAACAATTTTTTTTCGACAATTGTAAAATGCATTGGTGACCATTAAACTTGTGAGGACGGTCTCTTTCGCCTCGTGCGACGACAAAACTGGGCTTTTATTTGTCGAGACGGGGATAAAAAGGAAAGGAAGGGAGAGGTGTAGTGTTTTAGATACTCCTATGAATTTGTAGATACTCCTATGAATTTGTTGTTATTGTTAAGATGTAGTCAAGATGATGACTCTGTTATTGCTGTATCCATCCATACCGTGTTGTCATGTTTCTTAATTTGATCTCGCATTCTCGTCGTTATTTTGATTTTCTGCGGGTTGCAATTGGAATTTACTCTGCTGTGAATTGTAACAAGTGCATAAACTTCATCTGGTCTAGCTGAAGACCAAGATGGGCAACATGCTGGTCTTCCTTTTTCCGGATATTCAAATATGCTCTAGATGTCACCTGTAGATTTTTATATTTCACTGAACTTTATCTTATTTCCCCCTAGCAAAGCACAGATGTTCCTTTCTGATGAAAATTGTCAAAAATCACATCGGTTGCTACCGTGAACATGTAAAAATAGAAACCAAAAGTTTCCAAATTTGCTTTCTGTTTGTTTTGAGTTCTTTCTTCGCGCCAAAAAGCGTATGCTCTTGGGAGCCGAAACGCCGCTCCCTCGATAGTCTTCCTTTCTTTCCACTTTTACGACTCAACTTTTTTCGACAAAGATTAATTAAACTACCGAGACAGGTTAATTTGGCTTCTTGTAAAATGCATTGATGACCATTAAACTTGTCGGGACGCTCTCTTCTGCCTCGTGCGACGACACGTCATTCAACAACCTGTCGAGACGGGGATGAAAGGGAAAGGAATGGAGAGGTGCCGTGTAAAAATATTAGGCGGGATAACGCTAAAACAAGATGTGTTGGTGCGTCACTACAGTAGGTATGGGGGACGGGATTCAAACCGTATGTGAGGCCTTTACAAAGATGCAAAACCTCCAATGTACAACTTCAAATGAATATGGTCCAAGTTCTATCAATTCTAGCCAAAAACAAAGAGGAGTAAGAGCATGAATGCTCGTGTGGGCCCCCCTTAGCAATTTGTATATGATTCTGCCCCATTTTCTCGCATCCCCCTCTCAGCCTCTTCTCCACCACTTTGAGGGTCGCCAACTTTTCCCCATCACCCCTTCTCCTTCCGGGACCAGGCTGACCATAGTGGGGATGGGAGAGGATGACATTCTGCTTCTCTGAATAGTGGATATATGTTACCATTTAGGTTTAGACCATCCTCGAAGGCGACTACCGCTATGTCGTAGCGGAGCTTTGCTCTAGCGTTCGTGGGCGGCGTTAGGAGCTCATCTTCCCCCTTCCAGCCGATTTCCATGGTGGGAAGCCGCGGGGACTGGGGGATCTAGCGAAAGAACCCCTCGGCAATAAGCTCGTTTTAGCGATGGATCTGGTGTTGCATCTACTCTCTCCCTTGTTTCTTGTTTGTTGTGGTGTCGAAAAGAAGGAGATGGGGTGAAGGGCCTTAAATTCGACTCCACATGGGATTTTGCAAGCCGCGATGGAGCTCTTTGGCCAATCTACTTCCACTACATCAACCTTTGCCACCGAAACAAAAGATCAAACAATGAATTTGTTTTGTCGAGCACCTTTTCAACCTCCATGATGAAGCCCTCTCTCCTTGGTCCGAAGAGGGCATTGAACATGAAGAATATGGCGGCAGCCAGAGCTTTGGTGAGGTCACCCGCCGCAGCAAGACTAAAGTGTTTTTTTTACCTTTCCTTTCAAGGGCCTGTTTGCAAATTGGTAGGACATAGTTACTATTCCATTTTTGTTTTCTTTTAGAGTCCTTCTTCATTGTACATACTGAAAGAGAGGGGACTATGGCAAGAAACATATTTTTGGGTAAGGTGGGGAGAAGAGAGGTTGTGGAGAAGATGAGAAGAGAGAGGCTGATGGAGAAGACAAGAGTAGAGAGTGGCTGAGGTGGAAGGTCCTCCTCAATGCTACAGTACATCCTTACACGCCATGAAGAAGACAAGAGCAGAGAGAAGCTGATGGAGAACAAACATGAGAACATAGAGAGGCTGATGGAGAACGCGCACGCGCGCGAGAGAGAGAGAGGATTGCGGTTGGAGGTGTCCTATTCAATGCTATAGTACATCCTTCGATATTGTGAAGAAGACACAATAAAGATACTGATGGAAAAGATGAAAGAAGAGCGATGCTGGTGAACAAGATGAGAGCAAAGAGTGGTTGTGGTGGAAGGTGTCATCTTTAATGCTATAGTACATGCTTCAACGCTGTGGAGAAGACAAGAGCAGGGAGATGGATGGAGAAGACGAGAGCAGAGAGAGGCTGATGGAGAGGACGAGAGCAGAGTGGTGTGGTGGAAGGTAACCTCTTTAGTGCTATAGCACATCCTTCAACGTTGTGGAAACTACAAGGGCGCTTGCTACGAGCTTTGTCACGGCAGTACAATACAAGCAGTAGTAGCCAGCTACAACATCCCTGACCTGAAATGAATATGATAGTTGCCGGCAGCATCAGGTGACCGTATTGACATCCAACAATTGAGGCGCCTTAGTTAGCTGTTGCGCCATTTTGCCTCTCCTTGCTTGTCTTCTCCACGGCATTTCTTCTTCCCACCTTACTCACAATCTCTTTCTTGATGCCAGTTCCCGCTCTTTCGATGTGCTCGTTTTGGGAACCTTCTGGTCCCCTCCCCGTGTTTAAAAAATGTTTATGTATAATTTTATTTCGTAACCATCACTAGCAAGAGTCTATTCTTTTTCCTTATATACTACTCTTATATATGATTTTTTTTGTTTTTCAAAGAATGGTTGACGAGTCAACCTTTGGTGTTGACTGGTTGGCCCACGAAGTTGAAAGCCCATCAGACCCAAACCCAAAGCCGGATCTATTCCCCAACATCGTCTCGAGCTCCGGCGCCGGCGATGGCGGATCCTCGGGCGTGGAACCCCAACTACGGCGTGGTGGGCAGCGGAGACCGGCGCCTGGCCTACTCCCGGCAGCCGTCCTTCTCCTCCTCCTCCCCGCGGCCCCCCGGCCCCGGCCTCGCCCGCTCCGACTCCTCCATCTCCATGCCCGCGCCCATCGCGCAGCCGCCCAAGGCACCCGACGTCCGGTACCGGTGGCTCGCCACCCGCCCGATGCGCCGCCTCGCGCTGCTCCTCGGCCTCAACGCCGCCTACTCCGCCGTGGAGCTGGCCGTGGGCCTCCTCACGGGGCGCGTGGGCCTCGTCTCGGACGCCTTCCACCTCACCTTCGGCTGCGGCCTGCTCTCCTTCTCCCTCTTCGCCATGGCCGCCTCCCGCACCAAGCCCGACTCCACATACACCTACGGGTATAATATCAAGCAAGCTCCTTTGCCTAATGGATAGATAGATAGATGCACTGAATTTCAGTTTCAGTTCAGTTGAGTTGGATTCATTGGTGCCCCTGACTTTGCTATCCTATCATGTGCAGGTACAAGAGATTGGAGGTCCTCGCCGCCTTCACCAATGCCGTAAGCGTCGCAACTCTAAACCTCTTTGACATCCTTGTTTGCATAGAGCTTATTTAGGGAGACAAATCATGTAGTAGCAAAAACCAAGTAGCAGTGCTGCCAACTCCAATTTACATGTATTGCCAATGTCCTGGTCATCTTAAATTAACCTCCCCTGTTTTCGCTGCGACACCGATGTCGATGTGCAAACACCATGCTATGATAAAAACATATGCTTCATTGCAAGGCAGCACAAACCCAACCCTTGTTTTTATCTTTTCTTCTTATGATTTTGTATGTAGCAAGTAAGCCAGCAACAACAGCTGGAATTTCTTGTAGCACAAAACTGGAACAGTCTGTTGATGCCTTTACATTACATACTGGGTGACCCTTTGGATTGTTTGTTTAATTTCTTTGCACTAAGTGGCACACTTTCTGGCCTTTCTAACCTTTTTTGTGCTAACGTTTTGACCGCGTCCATATGGTTGTTTATGTAGACAGCTGTTCCTGCTGTTCCTGTCTTTCTCCTTGGCTGTCGAAGCGCTGCATTCGTTTATGCAGGATGAATCTGAGCACAAGTAAGCACCAGTTATATATGCTGACAGATGACGCTGTCCGAATATCTTTTTTCTATGTTGGTTGTCGAATGTGTTTACCTTAGGAGGAAACAAAGGAGATCGTATGTG